AGGACAATGCAGCTGAGAGAAACACACTCCTGAGAGACATGAAAGAGATTACACTTCTGAGAGAGACACACACTGCTGAGAGAGAGATGCACTACAGAGAAAGACTGAGAGACTGTCAGCTGAGAGATACTGAGCGAGTTGCTGACCTTGAATTGTAGTCTGTTGCTTCCCTAATAAACCCCACAATCTGTGAGTTCTGTGTGGCCACTGCGGCAAATTATCAAACCCAGCATAGAGGTAGTGGTGCTGCTGGAAGAATGGTTGATGTCAGGGTTGGTGAAAAGGCTGGAGGGAGGCAGCATGTCTGTCTGGCCTCACAGGGATAGGCCTTGGGCTACTGATGGTGATTCTGTCTTCCTCTTGTGGGGTTAGAGAATGCCAGAAGGTGCAGCCTCCTTGCCCCATGAGCAATGGCCAAATAGAAATATATCTAATGTGATTTCTCAAAAAACTTTAAATAGACTTTATTTTTTTAGAGTAGTTTTAGGTTTACAGAAAAACTGCAGAAAGTTCAGAGTTCAAGCATACTCCCCTTCTCCACACATTACATTCTTCTGGTACATTTGTTACAAATGAGTATCAATACATTACTAATTAAAGTTCACATTTTACTTTAGGGTTTATTCTTTGTATGGTATAGGTCTATGGGTTTGCAAAACACATAATGTCATGTATTTACCATTACAGTATCATACAGAAGTTTCACTGCCCTAAAAATCCCTTAGGCTCTACCTATTCTCCTTCCATGCTTTCCTCCCGTGAACTCCTGACAACCACTGATCCTTTTCCTCTCTCTAGTTTTGCCTTTCCCAGGATATCATATAGTTGGAATCATAGTCTGTAGCTTTTTCAGATTTCTTTCACTTAGTAGTATGCATTTCAGTTCTTCCAAGTCTTTTTCATTTGTTCGTTTTTTTCAGATTGATAGCTCATTTCTTTTTATCACTGAAAAATAATAAATATTCCATTATATGGATACACTACAGTTTGTTTATCCCCTCCCCTAATGAAGGACATCTTGGTTGCTTCCAATTTTTGGCAATTATGGATAAAGCCTCTATAAACACATATGTGTAGGGTTTTATGTGGACGTAGGTATTTGGGTAAAGATCTAGGATCATCATAGCTAGGTCGTATGCTAAGGCTATGTTTAGCTTTGTAAAAAACTGTCAGTTTTCCAAATGTCTGTATCATTTTGCATTTCCACCAGCAATGAATAAGAGTTGCAGCTGGGCTACATCCTCATTAGTATTTGGTGTTGTCAGTGTTTTGGATTTTAGTCATTCTAATAGGTTAAAAGTGAACAATGTGATTTTGAGTTATGTTACTGAGCAAAGCACATGAAAATCCTTGTTTCATAGCAATGTTTACCTGTAAACATCCATCTATTCCTAGAATATTTAGGTTAGGCTGGAAAAAATTTGAAAAGCAAAAACTTGGAAGGAATCATAACATTACAACCCATATAAATGTAGCACTAACAATACATCAGTATCCAAGGAAAGCATCAGATACTGAGAAGAACAGCTCTCTAATCAAACAGTGTATTGCCTAATCCTCTTTATAGGTTTAATACCACATCTCTCCTCCCTGTGCTGTAGGGAGCTTTCTATCCCCAGGGCCAAGCGATCAATGCTTCCTGTACTCTGAGCACTTCTTTCCACTCTCAGTCATGACATTTATCAGGCTGTTTTGTAACTTTCCCATTTGCTGACCACTATCCCACAGTGGCTTTTAAGCTCTGTGAGGACAGGGTAAATGTTTTACTCATTTGGTAGCTCAGGTTACCTAAGCACACCACCTAAGTGTGTGTGGCTAAAGTCAGCAACAATCAAAACCCATTCTTTCTCCTCTTATGCTATGAGAAGTGTGACTAGTACAGTATCTTCCATGCATTTCAACAGCTATTAATGCAGTCGTACTTCTATTACTGCTCATCAAATAAAAGATGTTTTTGTGTTGTTCAAAAGCCAGCTACATCAGAATCAACAGGCATGCTTCTTAAAATGCAGATTCCTGAGGTCTACTCTTACACTCTCCAGACAAGAGCAGTATAATTTACATTTTATAAAACTTTCAAAATAATTCCTATATATAAGTAGTTTTCAACTGAAGGCAGGTCATTATCATGACTGGGGAGTGTGGTGCTATCACTGTCTAGTGGGTAGAGCCCAGGAATGTTGCTAAACATTCAAGGCACAGGGCAGCCCTTTACAACAAAGGATTAATGACTAAAATGTCAACTGAGGTTCAGAAATCATGCTATAAACCCTAAAATTGAAAAAGCATTGTTCTTTGGTCTTAAAGCAACAAGGATTTTAAAACCTCTTCAAGGTATAATCAAGAGAACCAATACCTAAATTGAATATAAATTATTACTTATTAGGAATATACAGGACCAGGTAACATTTTGTTCTATGTAAGGTTGCCATGGGTTGAAGCCTACTCAAAGGCAACTGACAATAGGAATACTTTATTCCAATACATAGAGAATCTGAAAACAAACTGTTGAAATGGTTGCTACTCTAAATCATGGATTTTTAGTTCTGGCAATGAAAAACGTCACTTCCTATTTTTCAGTGTTATAGGTCCCTCACATGGTTCAAGTCTTTGTTATTTAACACAGTTTTAAAATAGTAAAGTTAATCCAGGTGATGTTAACATCTTTTTAAATTCCATTACTTACTATGCCAGTTCAGTGAGAGACAGCCTGAGGTAGCACAAAGAGTACTCACTTGGGAAGCAGGAAACCTGAGCTCTAATCCCAGCTCTGCTAGTTAATTAGCTGCGCGACTTGGGTAACTCATCACTTCACCTCTCCTGGCCCCAGGTTCCTCATCTGCAAAATAAGGGAGTTATGCCAGATGACCACTTAAGTTTCTTTCTGCTCTAACATTCAGTGAGCCTACACAGTAATTCCAATAACACACATAAGCTTCTGAAGATTCCTGCACAAAATTAAAGCGAGCAGACTTGCTAGACACCACTATCAAAAAACCATTCCAAAAACAAGTTAAGGCCCAACCTTGCTGGTTAATGTGGTAGCAATGCATAACAAGCTTCTACACTTTTGGTGAAACACACACAGGCATAAATGTATGATGCAAACCACTAAAACTTTTTTGGAAAAAAACTATCTACCAATGAGCTATGAGCTACCAAAACCCTTAAAAAATGTCCATACCACCTGACCTAATAATTCCACTTCTGAGAATCTAGTTCAAGAAAATAATCTGAAACACAGTTTAAAAAAAAAAAAAAAAAATTAAAGTATTATCTGGGATGTTAAAATCCCAAAACCAAGCCCACTACCAAAGAATCAATTCCTACTCATAGCCACCATATAGGTCAGGGTAGAACTGTCCCATAGTTTCCAAGGTTGTAAATCTTCAAGAAAGCACACTGCCTCATCTTTCTCCCACATAGTGTGTGGTGGGTTCCAACTGCCCAACTTTAGGACAGCAGCTCAATGCTTTTACCACTGCCCCAGAGCGACCCAATAAATATGATAGAGTAGAACTGTCCCATAGAATTTCCAAACCTGCAAATCATTATGGAAGCAGATTGCCACCTTTCTCCCAGAGAGGCTAGTGGGTTCAAACCAAGGCCTTTCCAGTTAGCAGTCAAGCACTTTACCTACTGAGCCACCGGACGCCTCCAAAAACCAAACTCACTGCCGTCAAGTCGGATCCCACTGATAAGAGACCCCTCCTTGGGTTTCCGAGGTAGTATCACTATGCAAGTAGATTGCCCAACCTTCCTTCGGAGGAGTGGCTGGTGGGTTTGAACCGCCAGTCTTCTGGTTAGCAGTCAAATGCCTTAGGCACCACACCACCAGAGCGCCCCCTCCAAAAGAAAATATAAAATTAGAAATGATATTTACCAAGTTTTTATACATAAATAGAAAACTAAATATACTGTTAAGTGGGGGGGCGGGGGGGGGGAAGGTACCGTCTTGGTTCGATTAGAAACCAGCACATACGAAAGTGAAATACAGAAAGTCTGTAGAGTGTTCAGTAAATACTACAATACCACTTTCTTCACTAAAGACATCTGTATTTTCAATTTTTCTGCAAAAATCATGTTTTACGTCTCCAGTGTTGTTGTTATATGCCATCGAGTGGGACCCGACTCATAACGACCCCTCCTTGGCTTTCTGAGGTAGTATCACTACTGAAGTAGATTGCCCCATCTTCCTTCCAAGCAGTGGCTGGTGGGTTTGAACCGCTAGCCTTCTGGTTAGCAGTCAAATGCCTTAGGCACTACGCTACCAGAGCTTCCACTTCTGGATTAAGAGAGACCTACTAAATCACTATCAACATGATCTAAACCGTCCTAATCCAAGATACCCCAAACAAAAATACCAGCTATGCACGAGAACACAGAAAATCTCTGACGATTAGAATTAATACTATATTCGTGCGGGTGTCCACCATCTGACAACTCGATGAGGCAGGCTGGAGTGGGGAAGTCTAGCCCTAAATTCCTGCGAAACAGGAGCAGCCACCGGGACGTCAAGTGGAGGCCGCTCAATCCCCTGGAAATGGGGGGGAAGCCTGGGCCTGCGCCGGTCCGCTTTGCAACCAAATTGCCGTGTTAGCGTTGGCGTGCCCTGAGGAGACCAGGAACGGTCTCGGAGAGAAATTCGCTGGGACCAAGGGCGTTGCAATTCCTCACGTTGCAGTCTAGGCGCCTCTCGGGGAGTGGTTCCAAAGGCCAGGCTCAGTAACTCCAGCGTCGACGACCAGATATTTCCCAGCCATTCAAGGTGCCAAGAAGAGCGAATAGCGCGGCATTCTGCGGGGACCCGCCACCCAGCCGGCTCTGGGGCCCGAGTTCCCTCCCCAGCCCTGTACCCCGCTCCCAACAGGGCCTCTCAGGTGCTGCCAGGCCTGAGGCCGCTGCAGTTGTCGCTCCCCAGACCCTGCCCCGCGCGACGGAACACTGTAGCCTCGAATCCCGGTCCGCGCCACTCTAGCTCGCTTGGCCGCCGGGCTCACCTCGCAGCCGGGATCCAGAACCTATATGCCTCACCAGCCGGGCCTCCACCGACAATCCCTGCGAAAGCCGAAACCGCCAAGGCAGCGGCGCTTTTCTGCCTCAGCCAATCATTGCTTTCCCCGGCTACGGCAGCTCACGGGGGCCGAAAAGACCAGACCGTATGAGTCCGCGCAAAATGGAGTGTCTTGGTTCGCCTCGTGGTGAAGTTAATGCTGTGGAGTTAAAGTATAAAGTGCTCGTGGTCTCTCTTTTAACAGAAAACAGAATACTGTATTTTAATATATAACAGTAATGATAAAAAACAAAAATAACCCTTCCCAAAAGATTGAAAGTGATCGTTTAGGTAGAATTTATTTGCATAAATTACAAAATAGCTTGAAGTCATAGGAAACTAGAAATTATGGCAAAGTAATGTCTTTCTGCACCTACCAATGTTCCTGAATAATTTAATGAAAAGAAATGAATAAAGCAAGCAGCCTCAAATCTTTAACTCCACCTTTGGGTTTTGATTTAAATTTGAGAAGATGAAGTCATTATAAGCAAGAAATTGTCTCCACGGCAATTTTAATTGATACAAAAAATTAAAATCACTAAAGTAACTCCTTGTTATCATGTCATATATTGCGTTACATTGCAAACAGTATTTCTAATGGGAAATGTGTGCAGACATTATTTAAGTGCTGCTGTGGGAATTTGGTTTGGAGTTTTGAACGATTCTCAATATTCTCCCTATATCCTTATCAGTTTAAATCTGACATTAATCCATATTGACATTGGTGACATTGTGACACCATAAACAAACTGCTAATATATCTTTAAGCAACAGATCCTTAAGCCCATTACTATTACAGGATCTAAAATGTAGATTTTTTTTTTCTAAAGTGGGTTCCTTCTCTTACAAGCTTCTCTTGGTTAAAGTCAGGAAGAAAAAGAACAAAAGAGCCTTTTATTAATATATGGACAGAGAGACTTCCTTAAATCCTGCTATAAAAGCTTAGTTTGGATGAAGACCAAGCAGTTACAGATATATTTAGAGCGTTGTACTTGAAGTTCATGCAATATAAAACAAAAAGTAAATAAAATATCTTAAGTAAAGTATGATTTAAATCAAATAATTAGTTGCAAAGAACATATAAAGATGAAAAGAGATTTTAAAAAAAAGTTCACAGCAGACACCAAATTTCACCACATTCCTCACTGGTTTCACTTAATTTTTGATTCATAGTGTCTTTCCCTTTACCACAGAACCCTGACTGAACCATTAAAATTGGTATGGTGGGCAGAGGGCAGTGAGGAATTTTAAAAGCATGGCTCATCTGCAAAGCAGTTGCAAGCTCTTCCAAAGGACACAGCTCTGTAAGGGCAAAACTAGACACACAGATCAGCACCATGAATTATTTTATGAGTTAACAAACTTATAAGAAATGTGACCATTTTCAGAATGCCCTCCTAACTTAGAATTGACGTGTACTAACTCACAAGGCAACTTCCAATACTTTGCAGGGTTGTTTTTTGTTTGTTTTTCAGCATCTTGTATTATACAAAAACATATGCAAGGCTTTTTCTGAAATATTAGTCCACAAAGAACATAGTCTTCAAAACCTACACACTAACATTAACTAAATATTATTATTCCAAAACCAAGCTTACTGCCATCAAGTCGATTCCAACTCACAGTGACCCCCATTGGACTTCCAAGGCTGTGAATCTTTATGGAAGCAGACTGCCTCATCTTTCTTCCACAGAGTGGCTGGTAGGTTCAAACCACTGACCTTTGGGTTAGCAGCCAAATGCCTTAGCCACTACACCACCAGAACTCCTTAAACATTATTATTAAGAAGCCCTAAAGTTGTAGAAACAATTTGGCAAGGTTTAATTTAGCTATTTCTGTCACTGTCTATGTGTGATTTTCTATCTTATGAACTAAAAATATAAGGGGCATGAAGTGAGAAGTATGCTTGTTTGATTTCTGTCTCTTCCACTTCTGAATTGCAAACCCTTTCTTGGTCAGTAAATACTAATGTATCTGAGCCTGTTTCTTTACCTAACAATGGGGAAAATAAAAGCTACTCTTACTACCCTGGAATAATGTGACAAACAAATAAGGGGAGAGGGGAATATATATTAAAGGTTTTACAAAGAGAATAAACTCACTGCCATGAGTCGATTCAACTCATAGTTGACCCCTCCTTGGGTTTCTGAGGCACTATCTCTATGGAAGTAGATCTCCCAGTCTTCCCTCCACAGAGTGGCAGGTGGATTTGAACTGCCAGCCTTCTAGTTAGCAGTCAAATGCCTTAGGCAATATGCCATCAGAGCTCCCCCTATAAGGAGAATAGTATGAACATAATCTATTATTCTTAATAGGCAAATGCTGGTATGAAAATACTAAAACAAACTTTTGCCATTTCATTATTCCATATTTCTATAGTTCTATGTATCTATGCCTTTAACTAACCGTCTCCTTTAATGGTTGATGTTCATAAAAGGTATCATGTCTGCCTTATTTTATAAACTGCCCAACAGTCCCGTGATCATGTGGGTGATTGTATTTTGATATTTATGAGGTTGATAATGATAGATACAAACATGGTATCGGATTGACCAACAGTCTCCATGCAGAGCACCAATATTAAGCGTCTTAGAGCTTTGGCTGCTCTTGTTTGAGCCATGCATTAGCTGGAATGAGGGCTGGCATACACTAGGGGGACCTGCCTCTCCTGCATCTTCAAATACTGGGCACTAAAAAGCATCTAAACTGGGACATCTGATTCCGAGTATTTTGGGCCATTGTTATCTATCTTTCATCTTGGGATATGAAAATTATTTGTTAAAGAAAAAGAGAATAAAGACATTCTATAGTTGTTGAAAACCTGAGAAGTAATATAGGCTTATTGACAGATAGGCATATTTTTCAGGAAATGCCTTTTTTCTGAATAACTTTTACTTATACCAAAAGAAGGGATATATTCTACATCATGGGCATTTAGTTTAAACTGTAATGTTTAAGATGCTTAAAGAAATGATCAGACTTCACCAGCCACCATTTTGGTATGACATGAATTTCAAAAGAGATATGCTCAGGGTCTGAGCTCCTCTGAGGAGTTTTCCAAATGCTGAACTGCTGCACGCTCTACCATGAACTCTAGAAAACCTCTCTCAGCTGTATAATTCAGCGAAATCGCTATGAAGCTGCCCTTGTATTTTAATCAAGATGAACTTGAAAGGTGAACATTATAAGTGGGAGAAATTATTTATAATTTGGTAATAAAAGTTTATGTCTAACACTCCAAATTTCACACATCTGCTATGTGCTGGCCCTGAGATATAAAACAATTGAAGTTGCCTTTACATTTGGCCTTATATGAAAGGTCATAAATTAGAATGATAGCGTTCGTCCTCTTCCCTAGCTCACAAAATTTCCATATTAACATCTTCACCTCAAACATAAATGGTTACCCAGCTACAAAGAAAAGAGTTGCATTGGTCTTTATGAATTATAGTTTATGTTAGAAATCTGTGGTACATAAGGCTGTTCAGCTTTCAGTATGCATCTACTTCAATAAAGCTAATTCTACCACAGTCAAACTAATTAAAACTGTATGGCCAATTTAAATTAAAAAGTACAGTATATAAAAATTTAGGGGTATTTTCGGTATCATCAAATGTTTTCCAAATTATAGGGTTCTTTTAACTCTTAAAAATGCATTTCTACATCTTTAAGCATTTTCTCTGCTAGAATATTTGCTACCAAGTTTATTTAAAATACTGCTTTCAATTTTCAAAATGTTTCTTTCATATTTGGTTTTAACTGATAATGTGAAAATTTTGTTGTTTTTTTTTTTTTTTCCAACTACATAAAATCTAGGCACAACTCATTTCTATTATGACATATAACTAAATCCATTCCAAAATATTAATGAATTGGACCAGTGATCCATGTTTAGACTTTTTAAAAAATGTTTATAGCAAAAAATCCAGATGTCTTCGATTTTCCAGGGTGGATTATCAAATCCATATGCGTTTTTTGGTGTAAATGTTTCTTTCACCAACCCAATGATGTAGTTAAAATGCAACATTATAAACTAGCAGCGTCAAGTTCAAGAACAACTTCAGAATTTCAAGCCTTTATCCAGGGAGAATAAAAAAATTGAAGATCAGATGCCAGTTCCAGTAAATATATTCCCCAATTCTGACTCAGAGAGACCTCTCCTTGGGTTTCCGAGGTGGTATCTCCAAGGAAGTAAATTGTCCAATCTTCCCTTCTGGTTAGCAGTCAAGTGCCTTAAGCCCTAAACCACCACAGCTCCTAATTCAGGATTAGTAAACACAATGTGGCTGAAAATTACCAATATGTTAGCATAAACTCATTTATCTCCACTTTTTGTCTTAAGTAATTACCTTTTCTCTCTCTAATGTCAGAATAAATGGATGTCTTTAGAGTCATTGAAGACCTTGCACTAAGAAGCCCATCTGTACCTAAAATTCTCAGCAGCAAAGATTAGTTGTTTCTGTTGTGATAAAATCTGCACCAATGTCTTGACATGTTTCTTGAAGGTCACCCACACCCAGAGGGCGATCTGCTCACAAACCCAACATTGTTCTTTTTTCACATCTCTCTCCCAAATTAATTTGCGGAAATGACAACTCTTCACAAATTGTAACTAAAGAAAGAATAATACCTTTTCACCTTGAAGGTCTTCTTGTATAAACTCAATCAAGACAAATCCTAACTGCATTTTATTAGGAGACACAAAGCTTTCTTCATGATTTATGCTGAAGAATTGAAGTCAAACTGGTTGCAGACTACACAAAACCTGGAGAGAACAAGCATTGTTTCCAATTTAGCCAAGAGCCAGGATGGATGTTACAATTGCTGGATTGGCTTTAATCATCTTGGGTGGTTTAGGTACTAAATAATTCTGCATAGGCATTTGCTAGTTTACGATCCAGCTTACTATTTTGTCCTAATGAAACTTGTTTCCTTTTTAAATTTTGCTTGTTGTTGTTGTTGTTATGTGCCGTCGAGTCAGACCCGACTCATAGCAACCCCTCCTTGGGTTTCCAAGGCAGTATCACTACGGAAGTAGGATTGCCCAACCTTCCTTCCGAGGA